TTCCCTTCCATCAATCCCTTGTGTCGTGTGGGTGGCAAAGATCTGGAGGGTTTTCCTCACGCAGGGCTGGCTGCTGGTAGAGAATTGTTGGCATTCATCTGCTTTCCTCGAAGCAGTGCGTAGGAGCCACGTAAGGAGGTCAGTCCCAAGTGCCTCACCTTTTGTTCTGTTGAATTTTGTCCTGCTTTTATTACTCCAGTTCGCAAGAGCAGCTTTGTGTCACAGCTATTATCCTGCTTTCTATGCCAAGACCTTTCCTAAACTGACATACTTTATCCATCGTGGAGAACACCAGCAGCAACCCAACCTGGTATTTTGTCTTATTGGCTCCTCCGGAGGCAGTTTCCTGCCCGTCTTGCAATTCTTCATTCCCATCTCTTTCTCGGGTTCATCAAAGGTGAAGTAGATCTTGGCTGGCTGTTATCTAGAAAATACCTTTTATAGAAGGGCTGGTCCGGCTCTTCCTCCTCAGTGTGCTGTTGGATTTGTGTTCAAGGAAGTCAGCTTTGTGAACAAGAGTTACAGAAACAGTATAATTATGGCCCCAAAATCCTCGTATCGGTTTCGGACACTAAACATACCTTGTGTTTAAGTCCTCAGTGCATTCAGACTGCTCGGCAAGATGGAGTGATTCATTACTTGGCTATTAGCAGCACTAAAGCCTCGCACGAATAATACAGTCGCTGCTCATGCAAGCCAGAGGGTTACAGAAGACAGCAAGCGGGATGTGTGGGAGTCCCGTGGCGAGTCATCCACAGCAGCGAGAAACAAGGCTGGCAGGGATCCTGGGCCATCCTCCCACCTGAACCTTACTGCAGCTACAGTTAATCTACACTCTCTTCGAACCTCTGGCAAGGAGGATTTAACAGCTTCCTCAGGCAGGAATTCTGGGAGGAATTTATTGATTTATTGCATTACTCTCTTTTATTACTCCAAGATAGTAGAGGAAAAAAAGCTCTAATATTAATTGGACTCTTTCTCCCCGTGTAAAGGTTTGCCATGTTCACAGGTAGGCAGGACAGCAGCTTATTCTCTTCTCTTCATGTGCAAAAGGCTGCTGTGGACTTAACCACCTGTGCCCTTAACGATCCCTGGTAATTGCTGCCGTAGCGCAATGCCTTGCCCTTTGCTTTTGTCTGCGTTGAATTTCCTTGTGCTGTCTATTCCAGCTGATTCCTTTGGTTTGAACCCAAGCATTTTTAGCCTGTTCTCAAATACTTCTGCAACTTCAGGTGGCTTGGTGGGGTCGGTAAATGTAATCAAGATACTTCTTTATTCCATCATCCAGGCTGATAATGAAATTATCAAGCAGAGCCCACCTAGTTCACTACTCTGTTTTTGCGCAGTGAACTCCTGAGACTGAATCCGGGTAATGTTTTTAATCAGTGTTGCACCTCCCATATAATAGTTTCATCTAACAGGTATTTCTTTACACGAGTGTTGAACTAGGCCATGTCAAAAGCTAAGCTAAAATCACGATGTCTTCCGCTGCGCTTTGCCTGAGGCTTCTTTCTTCTATTGTAGGAGAAATTCAAACCAGCTAGACATGACTTGCTCTTGACAAATTTATGCTGGTTGCTGCTTATCTTGTTTTCTAGCAGCTTACAAGGCAGTTTGCAAGGTGATTTCCTCTTGTTTTTTCCAAAAGTCAGGCAGTTAAACTCTTGAGGGTAACATCTTCTCTTTAGCATTTCCTTTTCCCCTCCTTTATTTAAAGATAGACACTCGTTGTGCCCTTTTCTGATAATCTGGACCTCCACAGATTTCTGGGGGGAGGCTGTTAGCAGCCTGTCTGCCACTCCTGGCAGTAACCCAGGGCAGATCCTGCTTGCTTAAAAACTTCAGCTTCTAGGAATAATCTGACTTTTTCTTCCCAATAATAATCCAAGATTTTTCTTGCTGCTGCAGTTAGCTCAGAGCAAGCCTTTGGCTGAACGCCAATGCCCAGAAGCATAAACCACTGTTGTTCCTGGTGTCCTCTGATAGCTGTCCTTCTTGAGTAGCGAGTCCTTTAGTCTCTCTTACTAAAGCTTGACTTGTTACGTTGATCTGTCTTGTTTTACTTAGAGCTTTGGCCTTTCTGGCACTTGTTTTGTTTTTTTTGCCTGTGCTGTCTCCTGCGTGACTCCTTCAGTAATCTGACCCGTGCTCTACTTCCTCCATGCTCGCGTGGATCGTGGGCGCAAGAAGAGCTTGGGGCTTAGCCAGGGTTGTCTCGCACTGCGCTGCTTGTCTTTCCACTCTAGCTGGGTAGTTTGCGTTTGCTCAGTGTAAAGGAACTGTTGCTTCTCCTTCAGTCCTGTTCTCTGCATTTTTCTTTTTTTTTTTTTTACCTTCTTCTCTCTCAAGAGTTGCACTCCCTGCGAGCCATGTTCCCAAAATCGTTGCTCTTCCTCTCTCCCAGAGATTTCTTTTCAGGTCAAAAACATTCAAAGAGCTTCTTCCCTGCTTTCCCAAGCAGATACCTAGATGGTGATTGCGTGGAAATGACTTGTCCTGGGTTTCAGATGATCCTGTTCACCAAGTCTTCAGCCACCTTGCCTTTAGGGTTTGGTAGACTGCTGTAAGTCCGCAGCATGACAGCACCCAAATTCTTTTCCCCAACTGATCATTCCTCAAAGTTGGTTTTTTGCTTGCTTCCCGCCCCCCCCCAGTTTCATTTCCTTCTACCTTCAGGGCCTCAGAGCATCCTTACAAAGCAATAACCATTCCTCTCTATTCCCTTGTCCTCACCGAAGAAGCTCTTCTGTGTTGTGTTTCTGTCATAACAGGGTTGACAGAGTAATTCTTATGCCTATCAAATAATTTCATGTTCAGACTAACTCCAGGCTATCCTCCATCCTTCCTGTATTGCAGCAGAGCCATCTCAAGGGATCCCTGGCGTGATCTGCTCTCCTGCTGTTGATCCATCTTCTCCCTCTGTCAGCAGTCCTACTCTTCCCTTCCTAGCATGCTGAAGGGACAGCAAGGCAGGGGAAAAAAAAAAAAAATCCTGGCTCCGAGCTTGCTTCTGGCATTTTGATTTTTTAGTTTGTAGGAAACAATCTGCTGCCTCTCAAAATATTGTTAATTGCCACTGGGGAGCCTGCCCACTTACCATCTGAAGGAGTACGCTACGTACTCGAGTGTCACTCCAGAGATCCCACCGCCCCCTAACTCCTTGCAGTTGCGAAACGGCGCCTGGAGAGGTCTTTTCCTCATCTTTCCTTCGCCCCACACGCGTCTGTCCCTCTGTTTCTGCAGTTGGTGAGAACGTAGTCACGAGTTACCCTGCTAAATTCAGATTTTCTGGCTCTTGTGCCCTGCGGTGATGCTTGAACACATTGCGTTGCCGCTCGCCAGATCTCAACTGACTCTACAAAACGAGTGCCCTCAGGTTAAAGCTACTTGTAACCCGTGCACGAGGATGTTGAATTTGCCCTCAGCACCAAAGCAGCTACATTTGAATTCCATATTTACACCCGCCTCCTCCCTTCTCCTTCAGAAACCAGAGTCTTACAAGACAGCCGCAGTGCCTGCAGAAGATGAGAGTGAGGAACTGCTTCTAGCAGGACATCATGATCTTCCAGCTGAACTGCAAGACCAGGGGACAGCTCCGCATCAAGCTGAGCAAGACGATGACTTCTACATCAAAATTGAATTTGCAAAAGTAAGACTTGTACGGGGCTGAGCCAGTTGGTCTTATGAGATTCGAATCGTTAGGATTTGGATTTATTTTGGCAGAGTCGGTGAGGCTGCTGTTGTAGCAGAGCAGGTGCTCCCTCAGGCCTGGTTAACTCTTAAGCCTACTGTTGTCAAAACAGGCTGAAGAGCAGTGTGAAAGCTAAGTGAGACTGGCGGCTTCTGTTTCACTGCTTTCATCTTACAGCTGTGGCTTCAAAAGGGGTTTTATTTGTGCCTGCCTCGTGATGCCAGTTGGCTGGCGCTCAGCGGAAATCTGAAACTGAGTGTGCAATTGCATCGTACGCTTAACCGAACTCCAAACTGTTGCCGGCAGGACCTGCAGCTGCCTGTGGTCCGGCTGCCCTGCTTGGAGGCAGCAGCGGGGTGGAAGAGCTGCGGGTGGTGCATCAAATCAGCTGGAAACCTCCTAGAAAAGAAAAGACACCCCCCACCTCCCAAAAAAACCCCCAACAAAATGAAACGCTTTGCATCAGAGGAAGGAGCTGGCTGTGAGGATTCCTGTGCCTTGGGGCTGGCGAAACCCCTCCCTTAGAGGCAGGGTGAATGTGTCTGCCTGTGAGGACTGAGCTAACGTATTTATCGATTCCTCTTTTGTCTTCAGGCAAACTTTTCATTACGCATCTGAGATGTGGAAATGTTTCGCCCTGATTAACTGGAGTAGTTAGCAAATACTTTATGGCTATAACATTGTGTGCCCAACCTTAGCTGGTGATTAGTCCAGCTAGGAGCAGAAATACTGGCTTGACAAATATCGAGCGGAGGGAAGAAGGCAGAGGTTTACACTGAGGTTTTGGGAGATGTTGGCCGTTGAATTCCCCTGACGCTTTTGTTATTTTTATTATGGTTGTTTGTATTATTGTTATTTTTCTTGCACTTAAAAAGGTCAGAATGAAAATTTGGTGAGGCGAAGCGTGAACCCATATTTAAACTAAACCAGAAACCTCCTCCAAGGATATCTTTAGAAGCGTTTTGACAAAGCTTTGGTGCTCAGGCTGCTGCACGGAGGTGTCACACGTCTCTTCTGTCTGTAGCCAACCTATACCCTGAAAAAAAGCACACCTCATAGGTGGGTTGCCCCATTGAGGACTGTAGGGATCATGCACAGAGGAGTGTGTTGCTGAGGGAAGATGAGAAACTTGACCCTGAAGATGCTGATGCTGCTCTTTTATGTTCTCTTCCAGTTCTGTGATGGATCGGTGAAGGGCTCGAGCTTGCCTGAGTCTCCCCAGAGGCTGCACGCCGATTATCAAGCTCCCCTCGTACTCTGGGCTGGCGTAGACCAAGAGGAAACCAGGAAGCAGGTTTGTCCGCTGGAGCCAAGTCCTCATTGTTTCGTCTCCGTTTCAGGACTGAACGGTATTGAGCGTAGGGGACGCTGCTTAGCTCAGATAAGAAGCCTCAAGAGCAGCCTAGGTTTATAAGTTTCTCAGTGGTGATGGTGTCTCAAGCCTCGGGCCTGAACCTCTACCGGGTTCTTTTTTTTAAGGTCTGTTGTGACCGTAAGTGCAACTGTTACGTGCTCCTCCCGCAAAATCTGGGATCTGAATAACACTGAAGGGTTGGAGGAGAAACGGGCTTCCTTCATTTTGCCTGGCAAAACAAAGGTGTCGCTTTCTGTAGTTGCATGGAGAGAGAGAGGAGCTGCCAAAAATGCTTTAAAAAAAAAAAAAAAGGGAACAAAACCCACTTTGTCTTGTTTGGGTAGAAGGCTGGAAGTATAAAGGTTTCTACCATATCAGCACCTGACAGGCATCGGGATGGTAGCTTTCAAGCACAGACTGCAGGCCTGATGCTGACTGTCTGATTTAGTGACGAGGGCTTACAGCCTGCGTCCAGGACAGTTTGGCTCATGCTAATCTAGGCGATGCAAAGAGATGATGTTTCTCTTGGATGCTTAAAGGAAGTGACTTTTATTTTCCTGCTTCCTTCTGACATGAAAGAGGAACACTTCCCTCTTCTTTTGTCGGCTTTCTTGCTGCTTACAGTGTAAAACTCGAAAGGACTTTGAACAAATTGCATTTTCTTTTTTTGTTCCTTACGTGCATTTTTCCAACAAGCTGATCCAAAATCCAGTTGTGGTTTTCTAGCTGCGTGACAGCAGCTGGGGCCTGTCAGGCTGTTCCTTCCCCCAGCGGTTCCCTCTGCCCCCTGCTTTTTATCTCCTTGGCTCTGATCCACCCTGAGATAACTGGTTTTGCAGCACTCTCTTCTGCATGGGTTTTTTCCATCCAGCTTTCTCCTCTTTCAGCCTGGCGATCTCTCCTGCTCGTTTATGTCCAGCTGTGCGGGGCTCTCTCAACTGGGCGAGATGGACAAACTCAGCCCAAAACTCTTGGCGTTGATGAGGAAAAATCCATGCCTTAAACTTTCTGGCATCGTGGAGCTCAAACTAAGCTGTGTACCCACCGATTCCCATGCGGGTGGGAGGACTTTTGGTGTGAGCTTTAGCCAGGAGGTTTCCCTACCCTTGCTGCATCCGTGGGGTTAAGCTGAAGCCCAGACGCTAAACCTCTTTGTATGCTCAGTACCCGAACGGGAGTTGTTCCCTGCTGGGCTCTTGAATTTGTCTCAGCAATGACTTTGTCACCTCTGTGGTTCTCCTGCACGTAGTAGGTCCAGCTCAGTGTTGTACGTTCACTTTTTTTTGGAGATACAGGCTTCCAGTGAACTGCAGAGGACCACCAATCCCCGGGTGTATTGAAATTCTTGGACTGTAGCTTGCAGTGCTCGGGTGAAGTGGGTTGAAGTGGGAATCAGCTCTTTTACCCCCAGGAAAGTGAGGGTTTAGGAATTTGTCAGGTGGCAGAGCTCCCATCCATAGGAAGGTTCAGTCGAGGGATGCTGGTACAAAGCTCTCTGATGCTCTGAGATGTCTTGGTCCTCCTCTCCTAGCTAACCACCGTCTCTCCAGCTTCTTAGTCCTGGGGCATGTGCACTAGGAGATGTTTGAGGATCTCTTGAGGAAGGAGCGAGGTTTCTATCCTGATAGACGTGTGCTCCAGAAGTCAAGCGGAGCGCTGATACCACTTGATAGCGATCCCAGCCTGCCCCCAGACGTCCTTCTCAAAGGTGCCTCTTCTTTCCCACAGCGTCAGAACGAGTACCTGAGATACAGGCGCCTCTTCATGAATATCGAGCGAGAGCAAGTGAAGGAACAGCAGAGGCAGAAAGAGAGGCAGAAGAGAATCGCCGAGTGAGTACGTGCGGACGAGCGCCAGCCTCTCGGTGTCACCTCCTTCGTCACAGGCAGGGCCCTTCTTAAGGCTGGAAAGGTCTTGTGTGCTTGTCTGGTGTGAACCAGGCAACGGTATTTTGGAAAGCACTGCTGCAGCCCAATGCAGAGGCTTTGAGAAGACCGTCCAGCTCGATACGGAAAAAAACCCCACATGATGGGTAGCATTCTGCCTCCTTGGCCGCAAGCTGCCCCTGATGGATTAAAAAGGCCACTTTATCAACTTTTTAAAAATCAGGGAGCGTGTTGAAAGAAGCTCCACAATACGAATGCCAGTTGTAAAGCCTGACTTATCTCCTGGGTTTATTTTAGTGCCCAATCTGTTAACCCTAGGGTGGGATTCATTCGACCAAGCCCCCAAGAGAGACCCTTGGGCCACCTCCTTCAGAGGTGCTCAGCCCTTCCCTATTTACCTTCTGAGTCCCCGTGCAGCTTGAGTAGGAGTTGGGAACCGAAACATCAGGCTGGGAGAGTTGCAGCTCACCAAACCGTGACTCTTGGGAACCGATCCCAAGACCCCGTGCTACAGTCCGTGTTTAGAAACTTTGGGCTGAGGTCACGTCGTTGTTAAACTGATCTTATCTCTGGGCTTTTTAATGTCGGGCCCTTCACCTTCACAGCTATAAAATATATAGTGTAATAAAAAGATTTCTCAGCATTTGTTCCGCAGTTGAAAACTCAGTATCTGTGTAAAAGTATCAGTACTTGTTTTGGTGGTTTAGTCATCTTCTCCCTTTTAAGGGGTTTGTTAAGGAGGAGCTCTGTAAATTCACACCAAAATAGGAAAGAGACTCCAGATTTTTTTTTTTTCTCTGCCTTCCTCTAAAGTAAAACGATGTAGCTCTGACCATCTCAGTCTCTAACGCCGGCTCAGCAGTGGACAGGCTTTGTGGGAGCAGCACAGGCACCCGCGGGCAGGATTTTCATGGTCACTTTTTGGA